GCTGGTGAAAAAAGGTTTGATCTGACTAGGAAGTTTGAGGCTTACATTTGTCAGCTTTACATTTGTATGGTTTCATTTTATTTTCAGACACAAGCTACAGACAGAGACTGAAAGCTGGATATAAGAGCTTCTATATTAAGAGCTGCAGTAACTATAAAAAGTATTCACCCTCTTTTTTCTGATTTGTTCTGACTGATATACAGAAAAATACTTTTTCATGTCAAAATGAAAAGTGTCTTCAAATTGGTCAAAATGTACTACAGTTATTAAACACAAAGTAATTGTTTTCCCCCCTTCAAGTTTATTATTACACTCAATTTAAACTCTTTTGAAATGCATCTTTGACCATATCTGCAACATTAAACAAAGTAATATGTGTAATAATATTGCAAAAAATAAACTATTAGTAAAAAAATATATTATTTTATATGTATAATTGTCAACATCTGTTCACTGGTGCCAAAGTCAAATTAAGTTCACTGTGATTCAGTGCTTAAAAAAAAAAATACATGAAAAAGTCGATGGGGTGAATACTTTTTATAGGCCCTGCAATAATGAGATGGGAAATTACCATTCATTAGCATAATTTTCTAACTGCTGAATTGATTTTTCCCCCTCCTGTTTTGTCTTACAACCCAAAGTTCTACAATTTCTACAAAAACAAAGTTAGCTCACAGTCATAAAATTAATTTATATTGTCCAAGCAAATCAACTGCATCCAGAAAACGAAACAAAATTTTGCATGCAAGAAAAAACAGCCTCTTTAACTGAGGGACGAGGTAATTACAAATCATTGATTCCTTCTGCCACCAATGGCTGCGCACAATTGGAAACTTCATAAAATCAGTACCCACCTACTAACACAATGCATAAGGCACCAGATAATTTATGCTAATGACAGCCCACACACAGAGATAAGTGTTCATTGAGCAATAAGAGCCCAAATATTTGCATATAACACCTAATGAACACGAGTTGATTTAAAAGCAGAATATGTAAAGCTATATTGCATGTTGAAGACTGCTCAGACATGCATGAAACAAGCAGCACTAAACAATAATTACTCAGTAGCTGGGTTTCCATCCAAAGTTGCAAATTTAACTTCATAGTATTAGAAATGTCGCATAAAACATTTGCGAATAAGCACCGTTTCCATCCGACGAGTCAAAGACAACAAAATCGTCACTTCCTGATATTCTGGCACTAAATATATCACAAAGAAAAGTAGGAAAAGCCACTGAATATAATAATTATCATCTATAATAAATAACTTGTGCCTCAGAGCGAGCAGACGAAACACAATGAATGCGGTCATTACAGAATGCGTTTTCGTGGATGCCTGCTGTTTGGGACCGTAGTTGTATAACAGTTCTGGGAGACAATAATGCAGAAATACTTTGAAGACAGACTTTGCTCGGGCATTTCAGAATGACCATAACAAAATTTCAGATGCTGTGCAACAAGATTGGTCCACTGTCAGGTTATGCCATCCCATCGCACAGTCATGTGACTTTTTTGATGCGCATGGAGGAATTTATTCGGCAAATGTGTTTCCATCTCCTATTATTCAAGACAAAAACCACCTGAAGCGAGCATAAAAACTTTTTAGCGAATTAAAGGATTTTTTCTTCTTCTTAGAAATTTGACATTTCCATTACTCGTTTCTGATGCGATGCTTCAAAATGCGCATTAAAACAGGGCGATGGAAACATAGTGGAACACAAAATTAAATGTTTGGTTTTCTGTGATATACTGAATAAATGTTTTCTCAAAAAATATATAAAGTAAAACAGTAAAAACAGCAATGTTGTGAAATATTAGT